TTCGTTTGAATGCTGATGAGACTGTGATTATTCTTATCATTCGGGAATATGGTTGAGTTTGGCTAGAATATAGTTGTTGTTTTCAGATCAAGAAAGCTACCAAGTCGCAGCTGCTAGAAATGTGTGTTATCACTGGTACTCTGGATCAGGCCATCCAAATTTCACAGGAAAACGCGGCTTCCCAAGCTCTTCATGGCGCCCACTTGCGCATTGCTAGCAATACCCGTGGTGCGAACTCGGCTGCTATGGCAGATGGCAACTCCTCTCAAACTGTTGCTTCTACTGGTTCTAGTGCTGCCGTCTCAACGAGTAGCTCTCTGGCTGAGTCTGGCGGCTTTGGTCTTGACGCTCTGACTTACCCTTTTTGGCTTCAGAAGCAGTCAAGTAAGAGTCTCGTTGAAGCATTGGCTGACGATATTTTGAAGCCGCCGGAGAGTTTCTAATCCTCTAAGCTAGGAATGATGGATATCAGTGGCGAACTCCAGGGATTCGATTTCAGTCAGAACTTCGGTGATTATTGAGTTGTATTCTCTCTCACTCTACTCTGTGGCTGAGGAGTCTTATGCAGATATGAGCTCGATTTCTATCGTCTCTCCAAGTAGTAGATAGCTCCTCGTTGTTGTAACTGACAGCTTTGGTTGTCGCTCTATCGCTTTTGTCCTAGAGGTTGTAGTAGTTGTAATATTAGTAAACACACGAGTCGTGGTTCAGCCTCAACATTGTACGTCTCTGACTTCTTTGCACTTGTGTGTATTCTGCCATCCCTATATTCAGTTGATTGTCGTTATCACTGTATCATCATTATGTTATCTTTTTTCGTCGTCTAGGACACGTATTCTCCGACCGTGGTGTTGTTGGTGCTAGCTCTTTTTACCATGGAAGTGTGCACGGAGGAACCGTGACCAATAACTTCTTCTTTTTCTTCTGCTTCTGTGCACTCTGCAGCACTCAGCATCCCTGTCGACTTACCAACACTTTCCCATCAGTATCGCTGCGCTCAGTGTTTTTCCTAAGGATTCGTCTTCCTAATGATAGGCTTTAGATTCAATGTCTGTGTTCACCCCACAGAGCATCGACTCGGCGCTTACCCGTGATTTGGATGCACTGTTCGCTCCGCCGACTTTTCCCGTTGAGAGCGAGAGAATAGAATACGATACGAGCTCTCTCGGTCGCTCACATGGGAGACCAAGCCGAAGACCACAAGTGAGTTTAGAGGCAGTCCAGAAACCAGTGCGCCTGGGCAATAGCGGTCGTCGTATGGTTCGATCGGCTATAGCAAAGGCTCTGGTCGCGAAGCCAGAGTTAAGGGACAAGTGTCGGAAAGTAGCCACGGTAAGCTGCTATGGTTTTCGCTGATTCACTAGGGTTACTGATGCGAGTTCAGGTTAAAAGTGCAACGGTCAAACAGCTGCTGAAAATTTGTGAAATTGCTGGTGTTAGGGATGTGGCTGAAGAGGCTCTCATAACAATGGACCCAACTATCGATGTAGCAGATCCGCAGTTGTGGGAGTCCTCCACTGAAGAAGAACTCGATAATAAGAAAACTCTCCCAGAGCGGGAGCCATCGTTAACGGTGAGAGTCAATTCTCATAGGATAATCGATTTGATGGTCCCCTTTCAGACTCCTCGGAACGGATTTTCCGATTCGTGGTTCGTGAGGAGTAGTTCTGGTGAAGGCTTGAGGAATCAAAGAACTAAAAGCATGCCAACGACGCGATCCTTGCCAGCGGCGATGTCCTCGGGAAACTCCACTTCTGCTGAGAGAACTTCATCAGTGACGGAGTTGAGTATATTCGACAATCCTGTCCTGCACTTCAAGCTGAAACCATTATTGGTCTCTTCAGTGGAGAGCTCCAGTAGCAGTTCTACGAAAGCCACATCTCCCTCTACCTCCTCGGGTTGGTTCTCTTCACCAGTGGCTCGTGACGTGTCGGAGCCGGAAGGATTCTATGGTCTCCAATTTGGTGACGATTCTGCACCAACTGCGTCTTCAGTCAGTGCTAGTTTAGTGCTCCATAACTATTAGAGCACAACATTGTCCATCTTTGTTGGTCGTTTGGAGAGAATGCGAAAAGATGGGAGTATATTTTTGGCTACCTTGTCAAACAGGGTATATTACGCATTTATTTCTTTCACTACACAAAAACATAAAAAATATGGCTGAAGACTTGAGTAGCGCAATGTCGACTACTCCTTTTTTTCAAGCCTTCGAGTGGAAATGTTCGTCCATCCGTCATCTACCCTAATCCTTGAGCTCCCGGTCAACGGCGTAACGGGATATGGGCCAGCAAGTATTTCTGCCCTATTACCTAGTTTTGCCTTATTTTCTGGCTCATCGATGGAGTTCGTAGACTTGCTTATCATATCATAAACTACGAACTACTGTGTATCATTGTTACCTTCACTCTTCACAGTTCTCGGCTTCATCAAAGAGAGTGAACAACGAGCCCGGAAATAGGGATTTTTGCTGTCCGTTTTAACAGCGATGGCAGTGTCTCGTTCATTGGTACTTATCGTCTTTTTTTGGTATCATCACCGTGGTGGTGTCACTAAGATCGTTACAGTTCCATGGCATCCTTTTCTCTATTTGGACCCATATTAAGGTGATTCTCAGAGATTACGCTTCGAGTTGGCGTGGAAGCGGCTGATGTGGCTTCAGTTTGAACTCGGTCGATGACATATCTCAGAAATTTCTGCTGTAGTTTGGGCGAAATTCCGGTATTGTGATTAGCTTAGTGTTTTTCATCGATATTTAGATATTGTTCTAGTCGCTTGTCGCATTGTTTGTGCCTGAAGATCCACTTCAATGAGGCAGTTCAACCAAAGTTGTCGCTAGGGCATTTGCCTCGTCGCCACACTTGTGTAGTTCGACAGTGGTGTCGGTGTTTTCTGACTCTGGCTATTAGCCTGTGACGAAATTTTTGCTTTACTATTTATGGACTTCGCTACTGGCCCAACATTTCCTCTCGAGAACCCGGCTAACGTTGAGCAGTTGAGGAGGCCAGTACCGCGAGCTCAGACGAGGAGCTTGGGCAACAATGGTCGAGATGTTTTGAGAAGGGAGATAACGAAGAGGCTGAGAGCATTCCCACATCTGCGGGTCGTGGCAAATCGAACAGCACCAGTATGTCCTTGTTGTTGTGATTGTTACATGTGAGCCGATGTAGGTACGTTTCGCGACAGTACCACAATTGCATCAAATCGCGGAGGATGTTGGCATAGGGGAGATAGCGGCAGCAATTTCAGAGGCTGACCAGGCGCATCGGAGATGGAGGAAACAGGTCAGGACAGAAATGGGACGTCGGAAATCGACAGGTGGCCGATCTGATGTGAATGTGAAGGAAGCAATAACTGATAAAGTGGAAGCGCTCCGTTGGTCTTTTATGGGCAACAGCAGCGCTGAGGAGTATTTGAGGGCGATGCAGAGAAGCACGAGTGAAACATATGATGCGGCCGCCTCGAGCTCTCATATAAATGATTTCATCAATTTGGACATGCATTTGCCAAGTTCAGCAGCGGTGCCATCGTCTATTGGGGCGCCCTTCCACAGTAACATCAACTCGTTTGAGGCATCTACCTTTGACGCAAGTGCTGCAAGAGTGTCTCCTACTCCTCCTCTGTGCTGGGATAATGCTGGTGTTACTACCGCTCCGGCGACTGAGATCAATCGTATGCATGAGTTGCTAGCTCTCCAAGGGAAGAATCATGAGCAGCCCTTTACTGAGCATGGTCAAGACTACACTTATCGCGAGTATCTAGAGATGAGGCACCTACCCGCTTCGCCACCAGCGTCCATATTGTGGGATATCAATAGTGGTCCTCAACACTGATACAGTGATCGGACTGGTCTTATTCCAAATGAGCCCAGTTATTGTTTACAAGTAAGTTATCTGTACTTCAACAAGTTCTGCTTTTCGTATCGTCACGCTTCTTATACATTTTTGCTGTTGGGGATCATCAGTGATGTTGTCCAGTAGGCGAATACGTTTTCTTCACAAACGACTCATTTTCCCGTCGGTTGTGATTCTAGATCGGTCGCTCTAGTGAGGAAAGCTCTTTCTCATTGGGATGCTGCTACTACTAGTGTCGCATTCTGTCGAGCAGCCTGTGCTGTACGCCTGTAGATTTGGAGCTAACCTTGCCGTTAGCACTATAATTTTACCGAGACTCTCGTATGAATACTATGGCAGCCTTTGAATGACTCTAACTGATGAACTCTGGTTAGGCTGCCTTTTGACTTTTCGATCCTTTTGCCGAAGTATGTATGTCGAGTTCGAGAGAGGCACGGCATTCCCACATTCACTGTATGGTGATTCACCTTCCTTGCTCGGTGGTGATAGGAAGTTGTCAATGGCAGCAGTTTGTTGGTTTTATGTCCCTTGTTACTGCCGTTTCCTCGTCCGATATAGCCACAGAATCGACCTTTGAGAGTATATTCCCCGTGTTGAGCTCAGAAGCAGAGGAGCTCATAGCGAGGATACCGTCAACTTCCTCACCGAGTCATCTGGTGCTGAGGCGTCGAGAGCTCGCCGTGAATTCTCATGAGTACTCGGCGACGACGATGAGACTCCTCGTCAAAGCGCAAGGGGAAGTTTATCCCAGGGAGGTTAGAGAGGTGAGGGGGGCTACGACAGCGTGATGTGACCGATGTGTGGTATGTCGATAATTGGACGTTTTTCTCTATTTAGAAGGTGCCGTATTTTGGCGGACTCCAAGCCGTGCGGAAGGAGATAAGTTATGCTCCACCCGAGCCGCCAGCACTTGATACATGCCGATTGTCGTTGCCTATCCCTTCGGTAGATAGGCCTCATCTAGTCACGGCTGTTGTGGCCACTGGCGTTCACAAAATGTGCGCCGGTGAGACTCGGCCGGTGGTCTGTGCAGGGTAGGAACGTTGCTACTGTGAGCTAAGACAGCAGTTACTTGTTGTTCGTTCAGATCGCAACTGGACCCTGGTTCGCCGGATGGTTTCGACGTGACTATGATACCGCAACCTGTGAGCTGAAAGTTTATGATGACTGTTGTGTATCGGCCGAGGAAAAGGATGAGGACAAGTTTCACCACCAAGCAGTTCTCCATCTACTTCAACTTCTTTTTGTACCATCGTTGCTTCCGAGACAATTCTGAAACTCCGCTTAGTCTCGTGTGAATGTCCGATGAGTTGCTGCTTTATTATCGCCCTTGATTGCACTATGAGGCACAGACCGTCGCAGTGGAGGGGCTTTTGTGGCAGAGGCGACTAACTCCTCACTGTTGTGTTATGTCAGTGTTTACACTGGGGGAGCTGGGGGTGACAGCCTTGGGTGACTCAGCATTAGAATAGCAAATATGCGAAAGAGACTGCGGAACTGAAACCATTGGGAGTGCTATTTCGAGAGAACAGCGGAAGGGCTCAGCTTTCAGTTGGCATTCTGCTTCTAGACTCGTCTTGCTCAGTTCCGAGCACTTGGCAGTTCCTGGATTGGACATTATCAGGCTCCCCCTGTGGGAATCTCTGGGTTGTAGTTGATATGGTCAATGGTGTTTTCCCTACAATGCGAGCCTCAAGACTGTGTAAGGGACTATACGTTGGGTCTTAGCAGCTTAGCATTGAGCTTGTGCTGTCTTGCGGCTCTGAGGCAGTTGCTTTTCAAGAGCCCGCTCAAGCCAGAAGCTGCTGGTATTATCATAATAATATTGGTAGGCTGCATGTGCTTACGGCCTCACCCGTGGTGTGTTGGAGGAATATATGTTCGCTTTTCTCAGCTGAGCTCAGGAGTTTTCTTAGTAATCATAGGGGTTTGTTTACGGCTTAGGGTAGAAGTGTTCGAAAACCAACTTGATTTCCCGAAATTCCCTCAGAATTTTCATATTGACTTTGTGCATATTTTCCCGCACTGGCTCCTCACTGGGCTATTCCATATTGAGCTGAACTCCGGGTTCCTGGTGAACTGTCGTGTCTCAGTCCCTCATCCAGTGTTTACTCGGTTTCATCTACTACGGCTTCTCGGAGTCTATAGGCCTCGAGCTGTTCATACGGGCAGTGAAGATATTGCAGACACTCCTTATATGCTGGCTGCTCTTGGCTGGTCAACGCCAACTCGATCCACTAGTGCATAATTCCGTGTAAGTATGAGCGCCCCTTCCCTCTACTGCTTATGCTTTCTACGCCTTATGACAGCTCACACGCTGACAGATCCCTCGACATCGCACGCGTACTTTTAGGTGTCTTCATAGATCCTTCCTATGCCTTGCGATAGGTGTCGTTGTTGTCTATGTATTTGCGGCTTTTGTGATGAAACCCAGCAAGAACGTGTGCCGAGGTAGCATTCTGGAGTAGGGGCCTGTACATTTCATACCACTCCTCAGATTCATCGTGGCTGATCATGTCAATCTTGTGGCTTATCGTGGCCTCTTCATTAGTGATACTCTCTTGTGAGCCGTCCCTCCCCCCTCGCCTGTGGTGATTGATGGACTTCAGTTAAGATGTACCGAGAGAGTCAACAGCAGTCATTGTCTCGGCGAGAGTCTCGCAGTGCCCTTGTAGGGGACGTCGTTGGAAAGTACTGAGAACAGCTGATATGTGCCTCGAGTTGAAATCGTCTTAGGCGCTCGCTGCGAGCAGTTCGGTCGCATACGTTGTCAATAGACTCGGACATATCACCATCACCGGTCGTAACGGACGCTGGGATGGTCGAGGCAGAGACGATGGAACGAACGCGGCGGAACCTAGTGGTAATGCCGCAGGGTGGATAGGACGGCGTTTGTTGACAATTACTGCATGGCATAGTGTGGGAGAATATGCACATGGTCAACTACATGTGACGGTTACAAAACGTTTTTTGGGGAAATTCTTGTTGGCCGCTGAACGCTTATCCAACTCTAATTCGTATATAAATTCCTACTATTAGTGAGGAAACTCCTGAACTAAGCTGAGGAGAGCGAACATATACTTCTATTGTGGCATGGCTTCATAATAGTTCTTCGCAACAGAACAGTAGACGGTGACCTCCCCGAGCTTAGTGAGTGAATTTCTCAGCAGGTACTGGTGGGACTGGAGGCTCTGGCTGCTCTTATCACGGTAGCATGGGACATAGTTTTGATGATTATGGCACGGAATGAAGAAGGAGGCGAGGGAACGGCGGTGAACTTGAGTTGTGAGCATTTCCTGGCGCACACTCCTTGGGCGGAGACTGCTGTGTAAGTCCCCTCTCTAAGAAGGCTCAGGAGTTGTTGTCTTTGCGTTTCTGACCATGGTCTTGCTGAGGGATGCTACTGACCTCTCAGTCGGCTCTACCATCTAGAGCTGTAGTGTGTATCTCCTATGGCTAGGTTCATCCTCACTCGTGGCTTCAGCCTCCTGGCACCGCAACTAGCAGTTCTCTACGTCTTCTACTGGGTGGACCGTCGCCTCCATGCGAGTTTCCGGTGGGGAAGGTCTCTTCACCATATGCTCCTCAGCGACCCGTGTGTTCAGGTATAACTGGGATATCGACTTGTCCATGGGAGATACTGTGCGCCTGCCACCGCCGCCGACACCCTTTGCTGCGGGTACGGCGGGCGAGCCATCTTTTGGGTTTGCTGAGACAGCAGCTGAGTCTCCTTACTGGTCCGAAGGTCAGAAAGAGAGTCGGCCTGAGCCGGTCGAATAGTGATCATATCGTCAACTGACAATATTGTAGATTGTGTAAACGTTTGCTGGTCTTGTGAGATAATAACACTGTTATACCGTTGTTGTGAGCTGTACATTTCTCAAGGAATCTGTATGCTTGATTGTCAATTGCTAAGGGCTTAACAGGGTCTTTGCTCGACTGTAGCTTTTTATGGCTAGGGTCGGGCCGCATTCCGCTTCCGAGAGCAAAAAAGTGACTTGTGATGAAGGTGATATTGTGAATCCTTTGAAGCCTCTAAAAAATCAGCAGGACTGATATGCAGTAGTAACATCTGTACAGGTGCTCTCTGTCACTTGCAGTAGTACTAGCACCAGGGAGTAGGTTAAAGACCATGAGCAGCCCTCTGGTGGGTGTTGGTTTCTTTCTAGAGGCGCGAGATCTTCCGACTAGAAGTTGTCGAGCGTCAGCGGACGGTGCTGTCCAATTCGACAAGCAAGGTCTCATAGCTGGGCTGAACCAGCAAGGTAGAACCAGATATCGATTCAACTTTCTATAGGCCATAGTCGCTGCGGGAAATGGAAATGCTGCTGCTTACATCATATCAAAGCTTTTCTTTTCGGTGTTCACAGGCACAGTTAGACTAGTCCGTGTTGAGTAGTAGTATTTTGGATCTCTGCAGAGCGGCTACAGTAGAGCTTCGAAAAAGCCCACCAAGGTTATCAAGTACCCACGGCAAGGTCCAGAGTCATCGTAGCTGATCGTGAGTTCGCGCGTCTTCTTACTGAGCTCTTGAGAGGTAGATGCTTTGTCTGCTCTTGGAACGGAGATGAGCATCGATTTGATTGCTCGGAAGCGGCAAGGCGTCGTGACCCGAGGCGAATACAGCTCCAGGGTTCCGCTGTTGCCCTCGTGTGTGCTTAGGCACACTTCAGTGCTTATTACAGCTCAGATCTGGGCAGTAGTGAATCAGCTCGGCTTCTTAGAATCGACTATGTTGCTTGTTGGTCAACGATCGTTCCTCATGTATTTTCAAGTGCTCGATTGAAACATGATAGCGCCACCTCACCCTGGTTGTGTTGATCTGCCTTGGAAACTGTGAATCGCTGTGGTCGACTGTTCCCTTCGTCCACATTCCCACGATGAGTAGGAGACGGCTAAGCGCAGGAGTGGCAGCTGATCTGGCGGCGGCTCGAGAGCAGAACGCTTCCGAAGGGGTAACTTGCAGTCCATCTGACTCCTGGATGGGAGGTCATTGTTTACCGTTACTTAGGTGCCACGACCTGATAGGCCGAAGCTGAGGGGGAGCACGGCACCGAGCCCCATGAGGCCGAGACAGGGCGTGGTCCTCTCCAAGCAGGTTCGTATAGTTCCATTTACTCTCATTGATGGAGTTCGTAGTCAAGCGCACTGCGTTGGATTAAGCTTCGTCGGTCCTGAATGGTGGTGACATTTCTTGAGGGGCATCGTGTGACATGGTGAATTGGTGGAGGCCCTCATTCTAACAACAGGCACGAGAACCTACAGTATCTCCTAAGCGGCGCCGAGTGGACAGTCCCAACAGGCGGATCTTGACACGGGCACACACTGGTGAGGAGGGAGCACTCCCTACATGAACTTTTATGACTCGCTAGGTCCAGTGTTCCAGAAAGAGCAATTCCGGCAGCCACTAGCGCGCGTCAATACTGTGGCAGGTGGCCGGTGAGTGCATCTATTCGATTAGACGTGATCACTCGAAGCCTCGTGTCAGGGTGTCGGTCGCACAGCCGAGCCTGCGGCATGGGATAAAGGATATCTCTATCAAGAATGTAACTCAAGCCCCTTTGGTGAGGTTCTGTAGTTCTCCAGCATTTGAATGGTGTTGGATCAGAAGCCTATTGAGGAGCAGGAGAATGTACCGCCAGATGGAAATCGACTATCCGTGGGATCGCTGGACTCGGTGTGCTTATCAGATGGGCAGGAGGGTACCCAGGGTGCTGTTCCCGTCACTGAACGAGTCGGTGTTTCCTCAGTGGTCGATCTTGGTGACGGTGCTGTGAGAGATTCCTTCTTGTCCCAGGAGGAGCAGTTCTATGAAGACTATCAGGATGTGCGTCAGGCGATCATCACTGTTTGTATGTGTCTGTGGTCAGTCGCCATCACCCATTCTGCAACAGCAGCAGATGTCACCAGAGGCGTTCTCGTATCGGCCGCATTCACAACAAGGGGTCTATCAAGACCGAGTGAGTTGAGCGTAGCGGCGTGGACCACTTGACAGTTTGCGTCGTCAGGGGTCCTCAGCGAGGAGCATGGCCCCTACGGTCGACCTTGCCAACAGTGAGCCTGAGCCTAGCGCTTGGGAGTATGTCAGCTATACTCTGTGGCCATGATGGTACTCTGATACAGGTACAGCTTTGCAGCTCCCGGTGACCAAAGCGTTGCTGCGACTATCTACAGCCCGAGGACGAGTGCGTTGAAGGAGTGCTTGTGGCCATTGATCTCTCTATACAGGTGTAGCGGGAGATGACGAGCTTGCCCAAACACAGTGGCAGGCTTCTCAACGCCTGCCAAGTTCGCAGGTCTTTATCAGTGGCAGTCTTTAAGTCGACATATGCTGTGTTCCATCCAGGTTCCTCCTGCAGGGCAACATCACACATCACCAGAGTTCGGCTTCCGGCCGTATGGGAAGACCGGACCTGTTCAAAACTACCGTCCGTCAGCACAAGTAGTCGCAACGTGCTTGGCTTGGTGACTGCCTCTACTATCAGGGACACGCAACTGGTGCTGGTTGCAGCGCTGTATCGTGGGAGACGAGACCGATTAGTGGTGACTCGTGAGTGCTAACGATGGGTATTCGGGTTGGCCATCATCACCTCTGCAGGGTCAGCTATGCTCCGTTCAATGGCCAGACTCAAGCCCAATCGGAGGTGGGCGAGCCGGACAGGGGTGAGGTCTTGGAGGGGGAGATGGGGCTCTGGTCGGTCGCCGCTTACAGGTATACACGAATTGGAAGGGTACAGGTCGGACACATCACAACGAGCACAGCCGCGGCAGCAGCAGCAGCAGCAGAAGCCTTTCACTCTGACTCAGGTTCAAATGGTAGACCTCGAGGAGTCCTTACCGTTCCTCGGGGAAATCACGGTCGTTCTCAGGGTGGAGATACTCCGAGGTCCGAAGCATCGTGCTCCAGTTATTACGCTAATCTCTTGGATGCGGTGAGTTGGACCGACGGACTAGCGGGTTAGACCAGGCGTATTGTACACGGTACGCTCGAAGCACTGGGCGCTATCATCGAGTCGTAGACTGAGGCGCACAATCTACTTAGACGATTTGGTCTGTAGAGCGGACCATACGGGTGATTTCTGGACTGAAATCCCCAGGCGAGGTTCATAGTTCTGCAGCAGTATAGAGAGGACTGCCATGGCTATGGGATAGGAATGTTCGTGCAGATGATCATGAAGAGTGATCCCGCCGACATAACGAGCTCGTTTGTATTAGGCCGCCACACAGGCTGCACAGCAACAAGCCCGACCCGAGGCAACGACCGTGCCGTCTCATGCTGCGTTGGAAAGGGCTACAGCGCCTCTGGCGAGCCTCGCCTCGCAGGCCTACCAGCAGCGTCCACTCGACACAGGCCAGGCGAGCTACGTAATGGGCGCCGGGTCGGGACCATCGGGCTGGGGGCCGCCACAGATCGGGCCCGGTACAGGAGAGGAGTTGCACACAAGTGAGTCTCACTAGCAGGTGTCATCTTCTTTGTTGGGATGTATTTTTGTAGTGGCTACGGACAGGATCCCGGGACGCGATAGGCTGGCGGACATTCCACTGAGTAAGGAAATTGTTGGGACTGCAGAAATAGCGGAGGTGAGTATTAACTGGTGTGGGGGTTGAACCGGAATGTTCAGAAACTTGGTGAGATCATCGGCAAGCATCTCCCAGGGGACGCCTACGACTATCATATCTATGTCGAGGCCTTCAACAAGTGAGCTCAGACTGCTTTCATGATGGACTTGCCTAACCGGTTGTCAGGGTTATCGAGAGTGTTAGAAGGGAGTATTTAACAAGGGCCAATCGAGTGAATCTGTCAGCGAGCCGTCAGGCATTGCTAGCCTTCGCAGACAACACGGTGGGCTCAGCCTCCTTTGGGTAGTAATGCGAGTGATGGCATGCAGATGGTCGCTTGGAGGGAGGGGAGCATTCTGGATATCTTCACCAAGTGTAAATTGCTGCGAAGACAGGCGCGGATGGAGCTCAACTTTCGGGGCCTGGTCCGACCGAGTCAGGACACTGTTAGTAACGTCCTGAGTAGAGTAGAGGCCCTTAGGGCCGTCGTAGAGGGGAAGCGGGCCTTGTTGGTGAGAGGTGGGATTCAGTCAGGGACATTGAGCGTTTCCTGTATAGGAGAAGCTACGTCGGGAGAAGGCCTCCAGTGCAGATCAAGTATGCAGTACAGGGGACATAATCGAGCGAGAGGTGAGGAGGCTATCACGATAGCTCCGTGGATTGTCCCAATGTCAAGATTGAATCGTTCAAGATGGCCTCGGCAAATGAGGAGGAGGAGGAGGCCCCGTTGGAACCGTCATACGACTTGCTGTTCGAGCTGGGCAATAGATGGATCAGGATGGTGAGGAGGGTCACTCGCTTGCTTGTTGTTACTCGACGGCCATTCATAGGAGTTCATAACGGAGGAGGAGAGGACGAGGGGCGAATGGGAGGACCCTGACGATGATTTTGAGAGCTTTAACGTGCCGACTGCTGAGACCCCTGACCTGAATGAAGTCAGGAGTGACGAGGCAACTCCGAGACAATCACGTCGGGTGCGAGAGAGTGTCGGCAGCGTGGCCTCCATGATGGCCATGGAATGTGGCTTGAGCGAATTTGCCAGCTGATGCAAGTGTTAATTACCTAATACTTGCATGATGCTTCTTATCAATTTCTCATTCCGAAGGGGCGGAGTTTGAGTAAATCAAATCGGAGGGATCTTGCTGCAAGATATGGGCCCCCCTCGAGTTCTCAAAACTTGGCCCGCTAGTAAGGATAGACTCTCCCCGCCCGCCCCGCTAGCTTGTGTCCACGGCACAAGCACTCACGACATAGACACCACCGATGACAGATCAATCGAAAGACATAAGAATCACCACCATGTAGAAAAGATAAGAAAACGCAATGCAGACAGTCAGAACGGAGAAGGGCATTGTTCTTCTCAGCACTTCGTGCTTTCCAAAACCACTACCGAGGCTATTTTGACGGCGATAGTACCTCACGAAATTTGATTTCTCAGCGCATTCGAGCTCATGATTACCAGTGGTCAATTAGTAGTGCGTCAGATAACTACTGCCTTTGAGTTACGTATCTCACGACCTAACCGCAAACCGGATCCTTGAAGGCTTCGAGCATGTTGATATCTCAGAGCATTCGAACTCACGATTGCCAATGGTCAACTAATAGTGTCTCAGATAACTGCCTTTGAGTTACGTGTTTCACTATCTAACCACGAACTCTCCTATCCTGGACTTGGTCGAATTCAGTGATTATCTCTGTGAGATAATATGCAACTAATTATCGATAATTAACTTGATTATTGAACGAAACACATCATTTGTTTTGACAATTCACACATGTACTGCGATAGGGCAGTAAATCTGAATTCACAGTCTGGGCTTACTGGGTGTACTGCCCCCAGGACCTCCGGCAAATAGCTCTCAAGCAAAGTTGCGACGTACCGCCTCCACGCGAGGCTCGCGCCGCGAGCCTGGTTGGCTTCTCTACGACGTAAAGCCTCCGGACGTCTTTCGAACCGCGCCATTTGAGCGCGCATCTCCTCGTTAGTCCCCTGAAACGGAGTCATCCCTTGTATGGTCATGGGGCGAACAACGGGCTCCGGTGTTACAGGGGTCCTGCACGAGACACGTGGTATACTTCTGCCGTTCCTTGGAAACGATGGAACATGCTCAGCAAGTACGTCTCCTCATTCACTTTAGCAAGCCGCGTGACCTTGCTACTCCGACGAATTCCAGCCACACGTTCTTCTTCCGCCAGTACTTCCTCCACAGTGTCGAAGGAGGTGCATTTCACCCCAGGGCAACTCCGGAAGTCGCAGCGATCCTGCTCTTCGACCGAGACTACCGGAGTATCCGGGGGGACCACAACCTCCCTAACACAGTCGAGAAGTAGGTCGGCCTGAAAAATATAATATGAATCATCAAATCTTCACTAGAGCTCACCTGGCTTCGGGAAAGGCCTTCCCATCTTCGACCATAGCCATCCAATTCACTAGTTTTTTGTCTTGTCCATCACTGCCGAGTCGGCAGTGCCGACCCCCGCTCCACCACGGACGCCTCCGGATGAGCCCGTGAGACCATCTCGGTCAAAGCTCTTCTACATTACAAGGATTACGTTAAAGCTCTTCTACAACTTGTAGAAGAGCTTTAAGTTTAAGCTTTAAGCTTTTACGTTTAGGTGCGTAAGGCGGTTTAGGTGCATTCGTTATGAAATCACTTGCCGTTAGGTGCAAGGCACCCAACTAGGTGCGCCTAAACGTAAGGTGCACCTTAACTTAAGGTGCACCTTACGTTTAGGCTTACTTAAGGTCCTTAAGGCGCCTTAGGTCAGAAACCCTTGTGAAATGGGCCCCAGGAACGGCGCATCAAACCTGATATGCAGGTTTTGAAGTGTCTGATACGAGCGTGCGCGTACACTATTGTACACGATGGCAATTAGAGAATAATATTGTACGTGCAATACTTAGGGGAAATCTCTCACTCTAAATACACACCGGATCGGCAGTAACGGCGTATGTATACATACCTCTAATACATAACCAGAAATGCTGAATATCGCCTAAGAACTCATCTTAGGCCGCTCGGCAGTGAATGACATTAAATAGCTCCTTAGGAGAGCTTTTCTCATCAGGAGCTTGAAATTCTTGTTGGATTCTGCAATATTAAGCAGCTTGGCTTCGGGGTGATCGGCTGCGATGGCGAGCTGGGGCCGTATGCGGATCCTGATTCATGAATCTGAGTCCATGATTCAACTCACGCTCTGATCCTGATTCAGGATTCAAGTCACACCTTGATTCGAGAGAACTGATTCAGATTCATTGCTCAGGAGAAAGAGTCGAGATTTCTGAGTATGAGTACTTGAGACAGAGTCAGATTACGTAATCATGAGCAAGATCCTTGATCCTTGATTTTAATCAGCCGCTGAATCCGATTCCTGATCCTTAATCACGATTCAAGATTCAAATCTATACTCAATGGCCGATTCAGAGTTTTTGGTACTGAGTCAGAGTATTTCATCAACTCGAGATTAAATACTCAGAGTTGGGATTTTTACTCGTGTTTCGAGATTAATTCTCAGGAGTCGAGATTCTTTTACTCAACCTCAAAGCTGCTCAGATTCAAGATCGCAATCTCACCTTGAGCATGATCCGGGATCATACTCATGATGCACAAGCTCACAGTTTAACACGGGGATTAATTTTGATTCTGTACCGGGGGTCCGGACCCCCGGTACCAAACCCTGATTCTGATTCTCGACCTTGATTCACGACTGCAGCGCGCACCACGGTAGACCTTCTCAGCTCCTTGCGAGTAGGTTCTTAGAATGACCGTACCGGGGGATAGAACCTCGGCTTCGACCAAGTGAAAGCATATCCTTAACCAGTTGAGCTACGAGACTATACGATACAAGACAGTGCAAGGAGGTATAGCGCACGTAGTACATACAGGGTATGAGTATGACACTGCCCGGGAATAGAACCCCGGCTTCGAGCACATGATAGTATCACCTTAACCAGTTCAGCTATGAGATCATACGACACAAAACGGTGTATGGAGGTATAGCGCATGTAGTACATGCAACCACACGGTGTGAACTACGCATTCCTCAATTCAATTAATTGTTCATAAAAACAATAAATGCCCTTCGTCGATCCTCTTGAGGGATTGTCCGATAACGACACCCGATCACGCTACCGGTTCTCAAAGGAAGCTCTAGAAGCTCTAGAAGGAAGCTCTAGCGCTGAGCTTCCTCTTAGAACTTCTGAGTTAGAAACCCAGAGTTAGTTGATTCCGAGTGAACATATTGAAAAGTTTGAAGTACGGATGTGTACAAGTGCGACAAAAGATCTTCTTCCGAAATTTTATCAATGCTGTAACGTAACGGGAAATGTGCATGCATTCGAGGCGAATCTACCAGGTTCTACCCTCGTAGAGTGACGTTTTCTTCTTTTCTTGAAATTGTCACTTTCGGTTGTGGGGCGTAGCGACTATAATCTTCGTCTTGTCAAAAATGTCTGATTCAAACTCTGATTCCCTGATTCTCGAAAATACTCAGATTCAATGGAATCACCCCAAAAATCAGCCTCATGAGCAAGGCATATTGAGTAAGAGTATTAATCAGCCAAAAAATCAACTTTAGATTCTCGAATCAGCTCAGAGATCCACATGTCCTCGCGATGATCCTGATTTCTCGCTCCAGAGTAAAAAATCAGTGAATCAGGGGTTATTATTCACCATCTGATTTTTTCATCTGAGTAAATACTCTGACTCACCTGTTGCATCAGGATCCGCATACGGCCCCTGATCGATTACGTCTCACATTAAACAAAAGCTACTGAAGATACATGGTACCGACTAGAAGGCATTAGGAGAGGTTCTGGATCTCGGCGAGCCTGCGAGGTTGCCGCTTAGCTATGTGGACTGCATCAACATCATAGGCCAGCACAACGGAGGCGAGACATTCGCCGGGCGAACTTCGCCCGCAGTGACCACAAGCCCGAACTACTAAAATTATACGTGGAATCTGGGGGCAAGTTCTGGCTCGTCACTAGCCAGTGTGTCAACGGCGCACCTGTGGCTAGAGCGCTGGTTGTCAACGACAACTTGTCATCATATATGAGAGAATATGATTCCGAGAAACACGAGAGGCTCCTCGAGATGACGCCTCTCGACAGTTGCATGACAATTCACGTGTCCGACACGTGAGTTGTCGTGGAACGGTCAATATGAAGCTGCCAACTTCTGAATGTATTGGGCATCTATTTAACCCCAGCATTATATCCAATCATTTATCATGACTAACGACCACTCGCCTTTTGTGTCGACTAGTTCAGGGGATCATGCGAACAGTATTCTTGTCGATGTTGTGTTGTTCTGTCACTAATCACGGTGGATGCGATTTCTATTAGTGTGATGTCAAATTCATCTAGTTATGATTATGGAAAATCCGAGGCCACCAACGGTACCATCCTGGGGGCTCAGCTGAACTGATGGAGTCGTCATCAACCTACTCCATCGGGTACATCTGCGTCGGAAGATGCTCCACATTTTGGGTCAACTCCATGACGCTGGGCAAGCTTCCGAGTTCATTCTCATTTTTTGGAGGCCGTGGATGTAGTCTGTGTAGTCTATGAAGGAGACAGCTTCGCAGTCACGCACATGTGTATGCGTGCACCTCATTAGCTATACGGTGGTTCCCCTTGCCTCTCTCTTTCCCTCTCCTCTTCTCATGTCAACTCGACATTATTGAGTTCAGATATTGATGCTCGACCAGTCTGTGCGGCAGAGAGCGTCACCTTTTTGTACATGCGTACAGACTTTCTCCTTGTGCTCGCGTACAAGTGTGAGCATAGGATACATTCCGTACTATTGATCTTGAGAATTGAGCGTTACTAGCTCCTAAGTCCGTAGCCATCTTGGCTCAAGGTCTCAGTGTACGTTTGGGTCGCATCTCTCCAGCTAATGTCGGGTCGTGTTGACACAAGGGAACGACAGGAGGCACCGGACATCAACAAGAGACACATCACGTCACAGGACAACCACAGTGGATGGGTAGTGCCTAGCTCGGGTCTCATCATTATACGTCATCATTACCACTTTAGAGTCTCACAATCACTCGTCGAGTTGAACGAGCGCTATGGTGGAAGCCTCGCGGGATGCCGTTATTGGACTTTCCATTGGACTTGATCAACTGTTGATCATCAACACAAGAGTACAATTTGAGCCAAGATGGCTACCGACCTGTTTGGATACCGACCATGTGAATTGTGTTCTGCACTAGTCTTTTCCATATCACGGGTGTCTCAGACAACTTGCGCAGTTGCTGATAGAGTACATCTTTCTCGAACTGTCTGCCATTATTGTCACAAAAGGCCCACTCGCTATGTCCTCCGTAGCAGCTACGGCGTAGCTGAGATCTCGCCTTATCCGGATAAACTCATCGATATCTTGAGCCGCAAGCCCACTCATACGACGTATGTTCTAAAACTCACATCCATTATCTCCAGAAGAATATCTATGAACTCACCATTTCGTTTTTTGGATCCTTTCCCTTCCTTTCCCAATGCAAAGTGGCCATCCACATCGCCACATTGTGGGGTCCCGTCGGGACCGTCCCGATTAGATCATGTAACCGCCCCGGCCGTGTGGAAGAACCAGCTCTGCACCAGTTCAGTGGAACTCCATCGTCAAGCTTCTCGAATATACGTATGGATCGTATTTGATCCATACGGATATTCAACACGGTATCCACCCTCAATGCTGCCCAAAGTTTGGATCCCAAACACTTCACCATCCTATCCTCATCCACGGCATACATAGGATGATGACGGTAGTTGCGACATCGCTTCTCACAGTGCAGAGTGACAGGCTGGGTGCAAAATCGTCAGATACCGCAGTACTCGGTACGAAGTACTCGGCCGAGATCAGCCGAGAACACGGTCTTGGCTGAGACCGGTCCCTGACCTTTGCGGAGACTAGAGCCTTCGTTCAAAAGGCGTTAGTCGGCATGTGTCCGCTGGAGAAATCTGCATGCCGCGAAAATGTTTATACGCTGATTTGGCATGAGCGACCCGGACAGTCCGTCGCGGACTGT